ACATAGAAATTTTACTAAAATTTTTCTAATGCATGAAAGTATTTTTAATACTTAAAAATGAATATTGCTTTGCATGATAGATAGGCAACATGAGAAAAAAGAAAAAGACATGAAAAAAACATTACTTTACAAACCTTAAGACTTAATAAAAAAAATGTATATTTTGCATATAAAAGCATTGTAATGTTTACTGATAATCTGCCAAATTTCGTTAACATTCTCTTACTAATTTAAAAGTTATAGCAGGAAAACTATAACAAACACAAAATGGTTACGAGGTCGGTCCCAGGGACCGAGCCCATGCTGAAAGAGTTAAAACAGTATACATATTTATAATACTTTTTATATTTCTGTGGAGAAAGAGGAGTATTTACAAGTGGATTATTTTGAAACAGCACTATGAAGATTTTTTTCCAAATGACATCATACACACAATAAACATGAGACGTGTGTTCAACAAGTAACAATCTTCCTTCCTATGTAGTGGATATGATGAAATTGTAACTGAAGAATAATCATGATAATAGGTCAATATCCATTTTCTGCTAGTGGTATGTGTTTTTATTCCTGAATGGTGGCATGTAATACAATTACCAACTAGTAAGTGTGAGTGACGTTGGAGTTATACTTGTTCACTATTTTCCACCTTTAATGCTGATCACTTCACTATGATACTCAATTCAACGTGTGCTACAAAATCAAAATGTAAAATGTTTTCCCAAAACATTACATGCCAAACCCAGTACTGCCTGGATGGACAGTCCTTCTTAATGCTGCATGCAGCTGTGACTTGACACCCTGAGACATCCATCATTTTGGTTCCCTCAAGGATGATCTTTGTGGCAATTTCTCATAGTCATCTGGTAAGCTTGAAGCAGCTGTACACATTAAAATTTGTAACACAACTAGAGCTGGGAATTTAACTCAGTCGATATAATTGATTACCTATGAGCATTGATTACATTGATTAGTGTCATAAAATAATGATTAATCAATATTACAATTAAACCAAGTATTGTCACCAAAATAATATTTATGATTATTATATTATTATATTTTTCATCGTTCTAATTATCCAAGAACTGTTCTAACTATTTTGATTATGATTTCTCAATATTCTTTTTATTATTTCAAGATTTTTCAGTTTAATACTTTAGATCCTGGCTCGGTCATTTTGACAGTCTTTGTAACCACCATGTAACCATAAAGTTTTTACATACTATAACTTTGATTGCTGTTTGTGTAACTTCTTGAAATTTGGCAAGCTCTTAATAAACATTACAAGTCTGTTGTATAGAAAAAAGTTAAAATTTTCAAGTAAGTATTTTTACTAAAAATTTGTTTCTGAATTTATGAAGCCTTTACTGAGTCAGTCTGAATGCAAAGTGATTTTCATGTTAAGAATAGAAATACTTTTTTTCATATTTCACTTGTAAATCTTCTAGAGCCTCCAAATTGAATATCAAACATTTTTTTCAGTTACATTTTGTATTTTATCTTTTATTTTCTCTACTCTATTACTAACTACAGTTAAATTAGTAATTTAGGGTAAAATATAAAGTTGAAAAATATGAAATAAATCTAAATTACTCTTTCTTTTCTTTCTGGAATGACTTTGTATTTTAATAAGCAATTATAGACTATTTATTCTTACAGCTAAAGCTAAAAGATGTTTCAAATCTGAGTTTATTTTATTGTTTCAACTGCACTTAGAGCTTCTAAGAGTATGCAGAAAACCATTCCCACAGCACAAAAGTAATTTATCACAGTGTAACAGCTTTCTGTAAACAAATGATCAAGTTACTAACACTCATGCTTGAATTACACAATCACACTTCTTAATGTGTTTATGCTATTATTACAAATTATTTTTTGTATTTAATTTTTATTTAATCTGAAGTCCCCAGTGCACATATTATTCAAACAACTGATAGTAATAACAACTTTCATTTAATTGTATTTATTTTTATTTCACTTCTCCGACTTATCACATATTCCTTTCTTTGTTTAGGATTAAGGGTCAGAAATATGCTTAGATGATAAATTCTGGGGTTTGATTTCACACATTAGACAGAGTGCAATAGTATTTCTATAGCTTTGTGCTAAAACAAAAATAGATTGCCTTTTTTTTTTTCTAGAATTGGCAATTTATCTCTCTGTATGTGACTTTGGTAACTCCACTACATTAAAGATGGCTATTTTTTTTTCTCTGTGTGTGTACCTTCATATCAGTTGTATGGTAAAAGGAACTTATTATTAGTTTTTTTCTTCTTTTTTAGGTCGTTACCAGGAAGAGTTTGTGGAACATAGACGTGCCCAGTTACAGATGTGGGTTGACAGGATTTGTAGACATCCAGTCTTATCTCAGAGTGATGTGTGGAAACACTTCATTACTTGTGCTGATGAAAAGGTAAGACAAAAGTATATGTCAAGATTGAAAAAGTCTCAAATGTAACCTTCTTTAACACACGCTTGAGTAAAATATAGGAACTTGGGCTTCTGTAACATTTTAAATCTTATATATGTAATGTAAAGGATTCTGTATTATGAGTGTAATTCTCCCATTCATTCAATTAATTAAAATGAATCATGTTTTATTGAAAAAAATGGTCTTGTTATTTTTGGTAAAGTGCTTATGCTTCATAGCATATTACAGATTTGTAAATTAGTGTTCATATATTGTATTTAAAACTTACTGTCTCATATAGATTTTATATTACATGAAAATACATCTTGTTTTAAAATGTTAGAGGTTTTTATTTGTCTCATTTTGTATTTTCATCATGACATCAAATTACTTGCACATAGTTTTAGCATTGCCCATTAACTCTTATTAATGGTTAGTGCAAGTTATTTTATTCCGCTGTTTTTGTGTCATGTAACACCTATTCTTAAGTTTACCTAATCACTAAAGATACCTTTGAAAATTAATGCCAAAATATAATATTTTATGAAGTTTCCCAAAAACATGAATAAAAATTAAATGAAGGAACTCCAACTTTATAACCACTGTATCACTGTATGAGCTTTTAGTTTTGAAGTGTTTGAGCTTATTTATTCCAGATACATTGAATTTTATGGCTATATACATAAAATATCAGATGCCCCAGTAGCTTAGCAGTTAGTCTGAAGGCTTATAATATTAAAAACTGGGTTTTAATACCTATACTGAGCACAGCACAGATAGCCCATTGTGCAGCTTTGTGCTTAAATACAGACAAACAAAACCTATTATGGTAACACAATATTTTCTCCAAATGAATAAGTAAGCTCAAACTTTAATTAAACTGTGGTACTTACAGGTGGACCTGAATTATCTTAACCTGTGTTTGAAGCAAAGAAAGAGACTGGACACAATGTATAACATAGTAAAATAATCTGTATTTCAAACAATCAAAGGCAAAAACAAGTGAATTTTGTGGCACCTTTACTGGAGATCTCTCAGCCAAGTATATCTCAAATCTATCTGTATATCTGCTCTAAGTTTTAAATCTTGTTCCAGGGTGAGAAAACATGGTATTATATATGAAGAACAACAATGAATTCTTCTCTGGGGAAGGCTATATCCTTGACTGATTGTCAGTTTCAAAATAATTGATTCAGGGTATCAATGTTCATCAGTTTTTCTCAAATGTTACAAAAATTTTGATACTCAAAAACAAACATCGAGCTAATTGATGAAAGAAAACCTTTAAACTGTATTGTCTGGGCTGTCAGTGAGTTGTAGAAATGATTTATAACACTGTGTATGGAATATTGATCAAATCTTTTCTTTCTCTTTTTTTTTCAAATGAAAAATATGGTCTTGTCAAGTAGGAAGTATGTTTTTAGTTTATTATAAAAAAATTCAATGTATAAATCCTCACCTCAGTATCATAGTTGCTTTTAATCTAATGAAAATTTGCAAAACAAATTATGATTTCAGTTTTTTAACTTATTGTGTATCAACTTTATTTGAAAATTTAAATTCTCCTTCTTCATGGAACATTTTCTTCCCATAATGAAAGATGGTCTTTATGTTTTTCAAAGGTGTGAAACATTTCCACATATCCCATTTTGATAAAGCTTAAAGCTGCATAAACATTTTACAGAAAAGGTTGAGTTTGTGGAAAGGATTGTTAGGCTTGTCATTTAACAATTTTACAGCTGTTGATGAAAAGTGTTGAATACTTGATATTCATAAAGAGTTCCTGAAAACACACTAAACATTTCCTATTGAATAAATATAATAATTTGTTCTGTTAGTTGTAAAGATATTAAAAAAAACTGTATCTTTTTATAATTTTTGTGCATTGTGTACAGAAATGGAAGGCTGGAAAGCGGAAAGCTGAAAAGGATGAACTTGTTGGAGCTTCATTTTTCCTAGCAATTCAACCACCAGAAACATTTCTTGATCCAGTTGCTGTGTATGACTCATATGATATTTGATTTATAGTAAAAATAAAAAGTTTTGCTTGCTATTAGTTATCTTTAACCATTCAACCAAAACATCAATTCATTTGGAATTAGGAATACTAAACAACTTATACAATATGTTGAGCACTTGTTTTTTTTTTACAAGAAGCTTAGACCTGGCATATCATGGTGGTTAGGGTGTTTGACTCACAATCTGAGGGTTGAAGGTTCGAATATCCATTACACCAATCTTGCTTGCCCATTCAACCATGGGGGTCTTATAATGTGATAGCCAATCCCACTATTTGTTGATAAAAGAGTAGCCCAAGAGTTGGAAGTTGGTAGTGTTTGACTAGTTGCCTTCCCTCTACTCTATGATTGTTAAATTACAGATGGCTAGCACAGATAGCCCTCGTGTAGTTTTGCACAAAATTCAAAACAAACCAGACAAGAAACTTACAGTTTAGTTCTTGAGTTGAACAATGTTTGACATTTATTCAACATAAACATTATGGACAAAACTTGTATAAAAAATTCCAACTCTGCAAGTTAGCATTTTTCTCATCACAAAATGTTGATCAAGAAATCATGAAGGACATTCAGTTGTGAAAAAACCCAACTTGTAATGCATGTTTAGATATACTGGAGGGAGAATTTTTGATTTTATAAGAATATGAGAAAATTTTCTATAACTGGTCAAAACATAGATGTATATGAAACAATATATTGTCTTTTAATTTGTAGTTTTTGTAAAATTTTGCTATAGTGTTACATAATTCATAACACTTTCACTACAGGTGTAGTTGGCAGTGCGTCATTGGGTTTTAGTGAGTTACAAAATTTAATTAAAGTACTTTACGACATGGTACATGAATAAACTTGGCATACTAATGCAATATTAAAAAAAAAGCCTTAATTTACCCTAGTATGAGAATTGTAACATTTGCTCTCTAGGTATCCCCTCTTCTCTAATTTATTTACTGTCCCTCTGAAAAGTATGAATTGTAATGTAAATTACTCATATAATATTGTCGTTCTACAGGCAAAGCATAATTTTTATAGCCTTCAATTGTATTTGGTTACAGAGCCATAAACTAGAAAATCAGACCCATCTTGCCATGCCCACTTGTCACATCCTTCCTTTCACAAATTGCCCAAATCTTTCTGATGGTTAATACTATGTTATTTATAACCAATAGAAAGCCAAATGTAGTTTCATGTTACAATTTAAAGTCATTCTAGAAAGTAAAAAGGATAATTTAGACTTATTTGGAATTTTAATTTATGGTTACGAGGTCATTCACATTGACCAACCTTGTATAGAGTTAGGATAGAGAAAATAACATAAAATAAAAAGTTCTACTGAAAAACAAAAATGTGTGAAATTTATTTAAGAGGCTTTAGTAATTATGCAAATGAAATTTGAGATTTCAGATAAAGAAAAACATTTTTAATCTTAACATGAAAATCACTTTGCACTCAGAGCAGACAAAACTTTGACTCCACATATTCAATGAGAAATTTTTAGTGAAAATACCTCATTAAAAATGCTGATATTTTGTTTACAAATGACTTATCAATTACTGAAAGCTTACACAATTTCATGAATGTACACAAAACATATTAGAAGTTATAGTATGGAAACTATAAAGGTCAATTTGGGTTTACAAGCTTGCCTGATTCACCCAAGCCCATAGCGAGAGAGTTAAAAGAGTATCAAAAATGTCAAACAAAATGAGATTTTTAGCTCTATGAAAATATACAGAGAAGACAGATTTCTTATGAAAAATTGTTTTATCCCTCATATCTGTACAACAAATAAAGAATCCTGTTCTAATTTTAGAGAAACACATGTCACTTTTTGTGCTAATGATTTCTGATTTGTGTAAGAAAGCTTTGAAAAAAAAATCCTTCTTCAGCTATACTAAAAAGAGTTGTGAGAAGCCTACAAAGACATATATATCTTGTAATCTTTTATATCATATTCTCCAAACAGCTCTTGTAGAAACTAGTTCTACTTTCTTGTGTTGTTATTATTTTTTCATGAAGATTCTTTAGAGGAATGCTAAACTTCTCAGTGAAATATACATCATAACACAAATCATACTAATTATATACAAGTATTTGCATTTGTTAAATGTTAACAGCTATAAGATAAAATTGGAAACAATGTTAGTATTTTTCATGAAAAATCTTGTTTCTTTTTAATAGAGAACAAAAAACTGATCATTTCCAAAAGTTTGTTACTAAGTTTGATGACAGTGTAAAACAGCTGTTTATGACATCTTTGGAGCAGTCCAAGAAGTATGCTGGAGGCAAGTACATGTGCTTTAACTACCTTAATAGTGTACTGAAATTTATGCCCTTCTCTTCAAACTGAGAGGAATATATAATCAAACTTGTTTGTTGTACAGCATTAAAACTTTAATGAAGTTAATAAATTGTAAAGTAATCATACATTTAAGCAAAGAAATCTTTTTATTTTATCAATTCTTCAGTTGTCTACATTTGATAAATTTCTGTTTCACCATTCCTATTCTGTTTCTTGTGCCATTTGTCTAAAAGGAAAATAACGTGAAACACTGAGTCTGATAGACTATCAAAATTTTTAGTATACGTATAGTTGCTGTATTTTTTTTAAACATTTTTCTCTTTTTAAAGAAAACAAATTAGTTTTTGTTGATAATAAGACTATGTGTGTGTACAGTAAATAGTCTTGGTTTTGCAAGTAATATCACTTTCATCAGTGAAGTCTGGCATGGCCTGGTGGTGAGGGTGCTTTACTCACAATCTGTGGGTCATGAGACTAAAACCTTTCACTGAATATGCTCACCATTTCCATTGTTGGGTGTCTTATAATATGATGGTTGATCCCTGTATTCATTTATAAATAAGAGCCCTGAAATTTGTGCATGTGGTGTTCACTAGCCCTTCCCTTTAGTCTATCAATTCAAAATTAGGGATGATTAATGCATGTAGTCCTCGAGCAGCTTCATGTGAAAATTTAACAAACAAGCTTACCAGTTATTAACTGTGGCTTGTAACTTTATACTCTTAAAAACTGTTCTAGGCCTGTGTATTTCTAAGAAGTGTAAACACATTACCTTAATTTCGTTTTCCATCACAACAGATTAAATTAATAGGCAGTGCAAAAGCATTTCTTAATGGTTCTCAAGTGAACTTAAGTATGTTAAGTGTAAACATAGTACCTTAATTTTGGTTTCCACAACAACAGGTTAATATACAGTATAAGCAAGTACGTAGAAGGGTAAACAAAAGATTAGTAAAGCGTGACTCGGATGTAATAAATTGGGCTATATATAAACACTTTGAACATACCAATTCTTTGCTGTTGCATTTATAAATGAAGTTGATGGTAGACATTTATGTTCTAAAGGGTAGTTTGTTCTATGTTTTAAAACTTTAATTAATAATTTGCACTTTTAGTTTTTATGATTTTTTTATTTTAAAAAATGTTAAAAATGCTAAGCTGAGATTAAGCTACACAATGCACAAGTTTTCTTCAGTAGTTTTTGTTCTATGAACAGTTTCTCAGGTTTTCTGTGTTCATATTTTTACAACATTTTAGGATGGCTTTGTCTTTATATTGGCACTTACAACCAAAGTACATGTATATGCATATACTGAGCTTACTTAAAAAACAAAAACTATATACTTGGCCTCCAAGAAAATAACTTGAAATAATTTCTTAGTGTTACTGATATGTACTAAACACATTTACAGTCTATGTATTTGCCTATTTATAGCCATATCTGTGAAGTGATGATTTAGTATCTAAAATGTATTTTATGTTTTTTTCTGATAATTGTAGGTTTTAAGCGGGAATTCCAGAAAGTA